AGAAATACATTTATAACTTTCATTGACTTAGAGAAAGCCTTTGACACTGTCAACTGGGCACTATTGATGAACTCTATGATGAAAACACGAATAGACTGGAGGGATAGACGAATAATAATGTTACTATACAAAGAACAGGAGACCTTAATAGTGGTAGGAGAACATAGTACTACAGCAAAAATCAAAAGAGGGGTAAGACAAGGCTGTTCCTTATCTCCCTACTTATTCAATATATTCGTGGAAAAAATCATGGACAAGTATAAAAGAAACTCTAATGGAATAAACATAAATGGAGAAAAGATCCGCTGCATACGATTTGCTGACGATATTGCTTTAGTATCTGAATCAGAAAAAGACATGCAAAAATCTTTAACCACCCTGACAAAAATACTACAGGAATACCAAATGAAAATTAATGCGAAAAAAAACAAAAACAATGGTGGTGGCTAAAGCAAAAGAAATCCCAGTAGTGAAAGTGGAAGTGAATAATCATTTAGTAGAACAAGTCCAACAATTTAAGTATCTAGGAAGTACGATTACAAGCGATGGTAAATGCTCAATAGAAATCAGACAAAGAATAGCTATGGCAAAGAGAGCATTTACACAAAAAACGACAGTTACTTACAAACAAAAAACTAAATATAAATATGAGGAAAAACTTTGTCAAATGTTATGTGTGGAGTGTACTATTGTACGGTTGTGAAACATGGACTATTAATGGACAAGACAAAAAGAAGTTAGAAGCCATAGAAATGTGGATATGGAGAAGACTGTTAAAAATCAGCTGGACAGAAAGGAAAAGTAACGTAGATGTATTAGACCAAGTAGGAGAAAAAAGAATCTTATTAAACACCATAAAATAAAGAAGTGGAAAAATGTTCGGTCATCTACTTAGGCATAATTTGTTTATGACAAACATATTTGAGGGACGAATAAATGGTTATAAAGGAAGAGGCAAACCGAGGAAAGCATACATAGAAGAAATTATAATACAAGCTGGTTGTAGTCGATATACAGAAATGAAAAGATTGGCTTCTAATAGAGAAGAATGGAAAGCCAAATTTGCAACGACAAAGCAAGGCCTTTAGTAAAGAAGAAGATCTTTAAAATAATTGATATATTTTAATACGGTTATGTATGATCATGTAATAATCGATATATTTAAATTTAAAACAAAACTAAAAGACAATGTAAAGACAATGTAATATTATATCCTTTCATTATAATAATTAAATGCTGGTCTATATAACAAGAAAAACTGTGTAATAAGAATATACGAATTAAATCAGGAATAATATGAATTATAAATGTGGGTATTACAAGGGCAACGATACACAAAACAGCAGGTGCAAAGTCCACAGAAACATGAGCCTACATTTCCTGAAAATCACAGAATAACAAGTTCAATGACGTCAATTGAGCCGGTGTAACTAGTTGCGGTCAAAATCAAAAATTACGTACTATTTGCGGTCACTCAACAAAAAGGTTATATACTAGTTGCGGTCACTCAAAATATATATCTAGTATATATGGTATATACCATGCTATTTTATTTACAAAAACGTTTCAACATTTTCTTTTACATTTTATGAACAGATTAAGGACTTAGTACTGTCCACATTATTTTTATTGTGTAGATTTGAAATCACAGTAGTAATTGTGAAAAGTCACGCGGCAACTTCGGGTGAACATTCATTCTTGCAGTGTGTATATTTTTTCTAATTAATGTAACGCCATTTGACCTCAGTACACTGAGTACTGTACTTGACTTCTCAAAATAAAAAATTTTGGAGGGACGCTCGCTCAACTGCTCCACTGCTTTACGTTTAACACTGTAACTAACCTTTTTTCGTACCATTGATTGGTGATCATCTAGTTCATGATTATACTACTATTGCAGGGACGTATACAAGGGGCGATGGGGGGGGTTAGATCCCCCCCCCCATAGGTCATTTAAAAATTATATAAAATAGTATTCTTAATGTAAGGAAATTATAAGGAAACAAAAAAATATTTCAAAGATTTATTGTAAATTATTATTTTGACACATTCAATATATATATATATATATTTTATAATTTATTATTTTGAATGTGTAAGTCCTTTGGTTTAGGAATTTTTCTTCCATAATAATTTGTTTGCAATTGATCTCTCCCTCCCCCCCCATACAAAAGTTATATGTACGCTACAATTTTATTTATTTTATTTACAAACCTTACAGATAAGTAATATGTATAATGACCGCAACTAGGATATTACCTACAATTCGCGTGACCGCAACTGTTATATGTCCTTATCTCAAAAATCATCTCTGACCGCAACTCGGATGCAGCCAATCGAGCAATATAAAAGAGGGATCGAAATGATCACAATGGAGATGAGATCTAGTCACGGAACTGAAAGTAACTTCACGTCATTCTATGTTAAAATTTATTAAACACTTTGAATGTTAAAATAAATGTAAAAAGTTAAAGTCTTACATCTAATTAATATAATTTAAATACATCTTCGACTGCACTATTGAAATCGAGGTTACCAAATGTTAGCAAAAGTTGGAAAAATTTTATGTTGAAATAATGAAGATCTCCCAGAATATTTTAAACCTAATATAGTTGTTGACATAAAGTTTGCACCTCTAATATCTATTGATGTTGAAGGTTCATTTAGTCTTTATAGACAAATTTTAAGCGATAGAAGAACTAACATGAGTACAGATATGTAAAATATATTATTGTTAATTCATATAATAAAATTTAAATAGTATTTCAAGTTTCTTTTTTATTCTTCAGAAAGTAAATATTTACCTTTGTATGCACCAAAGAAATATTGTTTATTTTTATACATATATATACCTATATTGATATTTTATATCTTGTATTAAATTATTATTATTTAAGGATTAACTTTTGTTAACCAATTTTTTTTTGTTTTTTTATATTTTAATATATATATATGATTATTTGTTATTTTTAATATTGTGCCAATAGTGTTAATACAACATTTCATTAAAATATACCAAAAGAATATTGTTTTTTAAATTTTAATACTGTAGGCCAGAGATTGCCAATCAGTTGATCGTTGTAAAATTTAATTTTACCACTATCGGTCAATCGCGTAAAATAATCAGATTAATTGGATAAGGGGAATATTAGATTTAAAGATTAAAGACCTAAATTTTCCTGGATGTCAATCAATGGACTTAAATGTCAAATGTAGCTTACTTTTTTGAAAACGTTGGCGATCCCTGCTATAAAATATACTGTAATATTTTTACTATATTCCTACTCTTACTGAAGTACAATAGTATTCTATTATAATACGCAACTTCGTATATACCTCATGATTAAAAGAATGTTGTAAAAAAAAAAAAATTTTTTAAAAATGCATATTAAACCATATATGATGTTTGTTGATTATTTTTGAATAATTTCGAATATTTTTACATATCTTTAAGATTTTTAAGAGAATATAATAAAAATATAAATCCGGTCTTTAGTGATAACTGATTTGTGATTAATGTTGTGATTAACGTGTACAGCGATACAGTGTACAGTGTGATACAACAAACAGTTATTATAAACATAATAAATTATTATGTCTTTCTCAAAAAAAGATAATGTAGAAAAATTAATAATGACTGTAAAAAATAATCCAATAATAAAGGACATGACCTATTCTGAATTTAAAGATACAAGGAAGAAGGATTATATTTGGAATAATATCATTAGTCCAGATATGTATGGAGAGAAAGGTATATATGTATATTAATTTATAATATAATAATAATTTGAATACAAATTTAAAAGTAATTACAATAAATGAATAAAGTTAAATAAAGTGATTAATAATAATAATAATTAAAAATATGCATTGAAATTGATAAATTACTCACAGGTCTGTATTTAAAAATTTGGCGCAACCGAGAATATAATTTATGCTCTCCCCAAAAAAAAATAAAAAATAAATAAAAATATAACACTTATTTCGTCCATAATCGAGATTCTTTAATATTAAAATATAACTTATACCTAAATGAAAATCGTTTAATACTATTTTAATTAAACAAATTATAACTTATAAATAAATAAATTATTTATATAATTTATTTAATTATTTATATTATTTGTAATTATTTATAAATTATAAATTATAAATAAATTATAACATAGTAAAATATATTATTGTTGCGACCCAGATGTTATTTTCAAATGAATTGTACAATATTGTTGATAAATGAAGTGGATATTTATTTAAGTTAAGAGAAATCACAATAACATAGATAAAGTATATAAAATGTATGGAGTGAAGATTCCTTGTGCACACCTACATGCGTCAGAGGGCTCAGAGCGATAAACTCGTAAGT